AGATAAAGAATATGTATGTATTATTTTTTTTATTATTTTTATGTACATTAGGGAGAAATCGCGAATTTATTACGGACACGATAAATCACGTGATTATAAATCCGGTAATTTAATGTAGGTTAGTGTATATAACAAAAGATTAGTGAAAGATAAAGAAGTTGAAAATGGAAAATATGTGTCTAAAGAAAAGCTAGTCCAGACCCTCTTTACTAAGAAAAATTATGTAGTTCACTATCGAGTTTTTTATATATATATGAAGTTCAGGATGAAGGGTACAAAGATTCATAGTGCTCTTAAATTTTGGCAGTCTCTATGGATAAAAGACTATATTGAAAAAAATATTTACAAGTGTAAAATTGCTAAAGCTAATGAAAACAAGTTTGAGATCATGTATTATAAGCTAAAGAACAATGCAATCTTTAGTAAATAAATTGAAAATGTTCATAAACATATAAGAGTAGAATTACTCCGAATAAAAAAGGATAAAAAAATCAAACGCCTAGCAAGTTCACCATTGTATGTAAGCTTTAAAGTATTCGAAGGGAAAATTACAGCAGTTTATATATTAAAAAGTACAATAACTTTAAACAAACTAATCTATGTAGGGTAGGCAATTCTCGACATTCTAGCAAGGCTATAATGTTCAACTTTTGGTACAGTTTCATAAAGCCTTATTATGAAAATAAGGCCTGTCTACTTTATACAGATATAGACTCACTCATAATATGAATAAAAACTGAAGATATATAAAGATCGAGCAGAAAGACCAGATATTTTCGATCTTAACTATTCAGAAAACTTATTTCTAATGAAGGATGAGACAAAAGGGGATCCAATAGGTGAATAAGTATGCTTAAAGCCAAAAATATATTCAGTTCTTCTAGCAGGTCATGATCTTAAACTTCTGATAATCCCGATTCAGAAGATCCTAAAAAGAAGTATGACATTTAGAAGGTAAAGGGTATTAAGAAATGCGTGATTAAGAGGGAACTTCAACATGATAAGTTCCTAGAATGTCTTAGGAATAAGAAACTAACCTGGCATGATATGTATGGCCTCTGAAGTTATGATCATCAAATATATCTGAAGAGGATAATAAGATAAGACTTGATAAAATTTGAACTTTTCCTATAGACATTGACAAATTAGACTATATAAACGCCTAATAGCATCTGAAATATCTCCTGAGAAAGCAGAAGAAAAGGCTATAAAAGCTAAACTTTGTATCAAGACATAGATGTTTTATAACAAATATTTTTTTTCAAATAAAAAAATTCTAAAGAATATATTTTCATTAATTAAAGTTTTTCTATCATTATAGTAGAAATAATACAAAATGGTCGATTATAAGGATATAGAATTTGCGTAAGTCAAAGTCATAAAAACTGCATTGCAAAAGGGCAAAAAATATGATAATCTTGCAAAAAATTATGAAGAGTATCTAAAGAAGTTATGAGCTGAAAAGAATCTGAATGACTATATTAAGACAGTTACAAACAAGATATTTTTTAACGAAGAAGTATACAATTTAAGGCTAGAAAATTATCGAAGTAGATATGCAGATAAAGATTTATGTACTAGTCTGAAGGAACTATATACGCTCTACTACCTTATAGCCAAAGAGGAAAATCTTGAAAGATATTATGAAAAGGTAGAGCGAATATTCAAAGAAATGACAATTTAGCTAGTTTTGGTTAGCTAAACTAACAATATATTATTTTTTTCCTGATATAATAAATATTCAGTTATTTTTAAGATACATAGCTAATTGAATTAATTGAACTTGCTAAGTGGATCAGCTAACTGGTAATGGCTAAATTAAGAAATAATTAGCGTAAGACAATAAGTAAGTTTACTACTAACCTAATGCAATATTTGCTATTATGCAATCCAGCCAAATACAGTGGAGTTATTTTTAGTAACAGGGTAACTGGCTTTATCACTGTCAACAAAACAGAATTATAGATATGTTTGATTATTCTGAGCTATATGAATATCTGGAATCAGGTGCTTATCATTAATATTATTTTTTCGATTAAAAATATAGGTATATTGTCAATAAAGCAATTAACCAGTCATAATGAAGTCACGTAGATGACACAATATGACGATTTCTTAATTCAGAATTCTGAAAATACTAAGAATTCTGCAAATTTTGGAAATACAGAGGATCTACGTAATTCTGAAGATCTTCCAAATACTGATAATAATCATAATTAAATGAAGTCTAAGAATATTTGGTGTTATACATATTTTTAATATTCTAAATTTT